CAAACGGTCAAGCACATATATATATATATATATATATATATGTGGGGGATACACCTATATACATCACACGCATGTGTATATGAAGCACACAATTGAAATAGTTAAGAGTTGTGTCAACCTAAGTAGGTCAACTGACAATTTGTGTGTATGTGTGTGTTCGGTAGGTGTATATTATAGTAACAACTATATTAATACATAGGCACACACACACGCAGACGCATATATGTTTACAATTTCAGTACCTTATATATGTATAATTTATACGTATAACTGATAGAATAAGGTCAAATACTATTGGTCTAGGTTATTTTTGTGATTAATAATAATACAGTGAATGAACTTGCAATATATATATATTACTATTATCGATTAAAGATTTTGTATGTATCTGCTTTCAATTATATAAATCGATTTCGGATGTGTTCAATTTTAATACTAATAGTTTCTTTTTCAATAGTTGGTTTTGTAAGGATTAGATTTGTTTTGATGGGTCGGTCACAGATTGATATCAGTTAGAGAAGCATTGAAAAACAGCCACAGGGTATACTGGACAGCTGTCTCATCCTAGTGCTTGGAAACCACTGACAGTACGCACCTAACACAGAGGGGTTCGAACCCAGAACTTTCCGGTTACAAGACAAGCTCATATACCACTCAATGGTTCTCTAACTCTGATAACAATCCGTGATCAACTCGTACAAACAGATCTAATCTGATGCTCGCTAGTGACTTGCTACAGGACGAAGTTTCCTGGAGTTCTAGTAAAGGTCGTGACCACTGAGGTCCAACCAGTAAAGTGTGAGGATGGATGACCCATCGATGACATTGGTTCGTGCCAATCGCGATAAATCACGAATTGGAAGAAGTTAGAATTCATGGGCTGGCCATTGAAACGGGTGGGGTCTAAATGGCTGAATGGTATACGAGCCAGCTTGCCTTGTAACCTGAAGGTCCTCGGTTCGAACCTCGTCAGTAGGTGAGTACTGATGATGATTCACAAACTAGGATGAATCAGCTGTCCAATACTCCCTGGTTCTCAGTGGTTCTCTAACTGATATCAATCCGTGATCAACTCGTAAAATACGAATACTACTACTTACAATATATTAGTGATAGTAGTCATTCGAAAATTGAGAAAGAAATGATTGAATGATGCATAGATGAACTTTATAACCGATCAAATGTTTCTGTTCACACAATAAGTAGAATAATGAATACATTTAAAATTGGATATCTTAGGTGTAGTAGTAGTACAAAAACTTTAAGCGTCACCGTTTTGAAAGGTTACTTATTATTATTATTACTATTCATCCTCTTAATAAGAGTACTCAATGATAAAAAAACAAGAAGTACACTTTAATTTTATGCTTAAGTTTATCATAAGATGAAAACATAAAGATTTCTAGCACTTTAATTGACACAAAAGCTCAAGGTACCATCATAATAGTAGTATTATCTACTATTTCATTCCTTAGAGTCCCAAGTATAGCATAAATGGCTTCAAGTTTTAAAGTTTAAAGTTTCAGTACGGAGTGAAGTCTCTAGCCCTAACACCCAACCAACCTTCCATCTCTTTATCAGGCTTACCTACCCAGTTAAGAGAGTTTTTAAGCATCTGTCTGTCTGTCTGTCTATTTTCGATATAGAAATTTGCACCGATGTGCATCAGTTCAAATCGCCACACTCCCTCCTTGTAGCATACAAAGCAAAGGGAGGAGAAACTGAAAAGAAATGCATAATAGAGACAGTAGACACGGATATGCGACAAAAAGAATAGTAATATCGAAGAACAATATGGTTTTACTGGATATTATAAGTCACAAGAGGTGGATGCATCTGCACCAGCTATTGAGAGAATGATAGGTTTGAGCTATATCACCAATTGTCATCAACCTTCATTGGTCTTTACCATCTCGAGGACAGCAACCAATCTGGAAGTCTACACCTCCCTACGTCGCTAGCTGACTGGCTTAAACTAACTGTTGTGGATTTCATTGACTGACCAAGCCATGTTTTGGTTTGACAACCAGCATTACCTCTTTTCGAACCTGATCGACGCTATGTCAGCTAACATTTTCCGTCAAGAGAAGCGATGGCTAGGCATGCATGAGTAACACATGTCCTAACCATCTCAGCCGATGTAGCTTCACAGCCTCGAAGATTGATTTCCCCTCCTTTCCTAGCACTTAACGCCTCAATATCTATCTGACACCTACAACATGCTGAGTGAATATTCAACCGCTTAATCATCACCACCACCAACGTACTGTACACCGGTATTCAGTGTAAAAACTACACGGTATATAAGTTACATGAGTTAACCTTGTACTTTGAAAGACCTAATGATTCCCAACCACATACCACAAGTAGAGTGATCTGTGGAGGTTCGGTTCCCAATGTGATACACTCATAAACCTCGCCTATTCGATAAGGTATGCCAAGAAAAGAAATAAGGTTGGTGTAATACTAGCAACCTCATCCGATAATTACAGCAACACCATCATAGTTAGCTTAAGCTTGAAGCCATTTTACATGCCAATAAGGAACGCAAAAGAATAGTGAAAAAGGAGTGAATTTAATGGATCTGGGGTCTGTGAAACAATGTAAATGGTTATGTTTATAATTGAAAACATCATAGTAATGAACATTCCGATTCCAGCATTTTTCTAAGGAACGCCTACTGCCTCGTGAAGACAGTGAACAGGAATTACTTGGAAGGAGTTACAAAGGCGTGGATATACGAGGGGATTTCAAGAGGAAGATCGAGGTCTACTCACCTTCAGCCGTGCCAGGTCGTTAGTAGGAGCTTTAAGATTCGTTAACTGAATGTATGTACCAGATTAGTATCAAGTTAATCTTTAGGCATTATCGAAGCTTCTACCATACTAGAAGTCGGCATGTCATCAGAGACCGAAGATTTCAGTTTAATAAAATAAATCAACAGGGAATTGAAAATACCATTTAATGTATTTTATACCGCGTCGGTGGCACAGCGGTTAGGACGCTCGCCGACCATGCACATGACCCGAGGTTCGATCCCTGGCCAACGCACACCTGATATCTATGGTTGGTTTGCAAAATATGGACTACTGATATCTCAGGTTGAAAATTCCATACTTCTATCAAAAGCACTGTGTGGAATCAAGCTATAAAAAAATATAAATAATAATAATGATTTACTTTATTCCAAAAACGGTACTTGTGATACAGAATGGAATTTTCAGCATTAATCACAACACCTTGCATCTAATTTCCTCAAATTATAAATAAAAATTAATCACACAGAAAATTCTCCACATTTACAATAGAGGTAGTGTCAAAAACATGCAGCATATAAAATGGAAATAGCAATAATAATGATAACAGCTAGGGTAATAATAATAAGAATACAAGTGAAAATTCCCGTGGGCTTATTTCACACACTTGTCGATGCGGTATAAAAATCCTAGCATGTTCAAAAATATTGAATATAATGTTCTCTTTACATGATATGGTGAGGGGAAAAACAAAGATTACAGCCGTCATGGAGATAAGTTGGTGTTTGCAATTATGAGAGTAAAACAGAGAAGTAACAGGACCATATAAGTAATCTATTTCCCCCCCCCAACTACGTACATGATCTAGGTGAGATTTCTCCATCAACGAACTCCGAAATCTCGCCTAGATGGTAGTAAGACCAGTAAAGAAAGGAGATTGCGAGTGGCGTTCGCAACTGCAACCCGTAAAAGAACAACATCAATACTGATACTTCAGAGATTTATGTGTTCCACTAGGAACAAAAAGGAATAAAATCATAATAATAGTACTGAATAATGCGACAAACAGCGGGCCAGGCAAGGAGGAGACAGGCATAAAATGAAATCACACAGAAAACTTGGAGGATTTGGACTTCGCCGATGATATATGTCTGATTTCCCACAAACTGGAAGATTTGCAAGTGAAAAGCTACAAGTTGACAGAAAAAGCATCAAAGATAGGACGTCCTTCAGGTGCGTCGGTAGCACAGTGGTTAGGACTCTCGCCGACCATGCACGTGGTCCGGGGTTCGAGCCCACGCTGACGCACACCTGATATCTATGGTCGGCCTGCAAAATTTGGGCTACCGATATCCACGCTGAAAATTCCATACTTGTACCAAAAATACGGTGTGGAGTCAAGCTGTAATCAAAAATAAAAAAAAAAAACAGAGGTGATGATGAAGATTTCAGGCCAATAGCAACATTAACAACAACAGACAACAACCAGCCGGCAAAAATGGGAGAAATCTGAAAGAAGCGACCTCTTTCGCCTACCTACCTAACAGGGAAGCATCGTTTCAACTACAGACGAACGGAACTGATGAGGATATCAAAGCGAGGATTGGAAAGCAAGGCTAACTTTCATCTCTATCAAGTCTGTGTGGAGATCAACAGCACTCCTCAGCATGAAAATGGAAATAAGATCCTGATTTTCAACTCCAGTGTGAAGTCAGTGCTACTTGCTATAAGGATCAGAGATTTCGCGCCACACCGCATCACTTCGAACAAACCACAGACCTTCATCAACAACCGTCTTGGCTCAATACTACTCAAGATTGGATGGTCGGCCAGAAATGATGAGCAATAGTTAGGGATCTCTGAGCGAACCAACCCGGTGGGGACCAATTGTGCAAGAAATATCAAGGAAGAAATGGAGGTGGAATGGCCATACTCTGAGAAAATAAATCATCAAGTGACATCACACGTCAGACTGTCTCTCTCTCTCTCTCGAGTAGAACCCGAATGTGAATCGGCGAGCCAGATGTTCGTCAGTGCGAGGGTAACATGGAGGAGGAGGTGATGTGAAGAAATGAAATCATGTGGGCAGACGTGTAGCCAGGTGAAAACGTTGGCAGAGAAGTAAACGCAATGGAGACGTGTGGCTGAAGCCCTATGTTCCTCTAGGAATTAAAGGAAACAATATAATAATAAATAAATAAATAAACAACAAAAGTTATAATCATCAATGCGTTTTAAACCTACCACGATCTATGTTATCGCTTGGTTCACCAGATTCTGATACATTATCTTCTATATTATTATTAACAGTACTATTACTATTACTACTATTACTGCTACGTCTTCTCTTTATAGAAGAAGCATTAGTAGTCATGATAACATTATTGCCACTACAACCATTTTTATTATCATTATCAATTAGAGTATTTGTTTCACTGTTCGAGGTACGCTTGCATAATAATTGAATTAAATTGGTTGATTTGATTGGTGGAGGGACTGGGATAATTGGTATATTATTGTTATTACTAATATTATTACTATTATTACTAATGGTAGTAGTTGGAGTAGCTTTATTATTAGTAGTAGTAGTAGTAGAAGTAATATTATTATTATTAGTGAGACCAAATAACGATGCTGCTAAACACGAGGATGATGTCGACGGTATAGGCAAATCATAGGCAATATTATTCGGTGAAGTAGACGATGATAGCGATGGCTGAACTGGAGGATTCAACGAATTATATTGATTAGAATGATGTGTAAGAAAAGGAGATTGTTGGTGTTGTTGTTGTTGTTGCTGTTGTTGTTGTAAATGTCGTTGAAGAGTTGATGATGATGGCTGTGATTGTATCGGTGGCTTCAATTGTACAGCTGAATTGACTACATCTGCAAGAGTATGAAAGCTATTCAATCCACTAATAATATTTTCTGATCCGGACGATGATAATGATGATGACGAACCGAGCATAAGTGCCATCAAAGCATTCAAAGCATCTGTTTGACTATTTGACATAGACAATAATGATGATGATGACGCTGGTAATGATGAGGAGGATTTCGACTGCTGTTGATTCAATCCATTGATCAATAATTGATTTTCTAAACTACACTGTTGTTGGTGCTGCTGTTGTTGTTGTCCAAATAAACTTTCAGTATTTGAATTTACATTAAAATGAGATGTGATATTTTGATGGCTTGAACTAGATATTGTAGGATTGGTGGTGATTGTAGGGATCATTGTCAAAGATGGCAAAGTTTTCGGTGATGATAATGATCTTTTCATATCTAATAAATTACAATTCTGTTTAGATGCAGATAAAAGAGGTGAAGTAGTCAAAGTTTGTTGTTGGGTATGTTCAGATGACTGTTGTTGGTGTTGTGGTTGTATTGGTTGTAGAGGTTGTGAAGAATTCAAGGCACCACTACTACTAGCTGCTGCAGTTGCTGCCAACCAATAAGTGTATAGGGCAGCTAAACTACGTTCTTGTTGACTGGATAATGATGATGATGCTGATGATGACGGTAAGGAATTCATGTTACTCAATGCCAATTTAGTTAATTCATTCAAATTCAATCCACCAACTGTAGTATCATCACTACTAGTGAACAATGGAATAGACTCTTGTTGATTAGGCAGAGGTATTGAGGATAAACCAATTGAATTGGAGAAAGGTGTCTAAAATTTTAAAATAAATAAAAAAAAGAAAGAAGAAGAAATGAATCTATGAAAGCAAATTAAATAATTTCAGCTGTTAGGTGTATGGAGGCGGGGGTGGAGGAGCTGCTTGATTCCAAAATGAATCTCACTATGAACCGACATCAGCTGGAGAGTCATTCAAAACCAGAGAGGTGACATCATACCGCGGATTGACGGAAGCCATTGGATTCCAACCCGGTGGCTGAGTGATGATGTGCTAATCCGGGTCCGACCTCCAGTAAGCTCACTGGTGTGAGAAGAGTTTTGAATTAGAAAGATGCAGCTATCCAGTACTTCGTGTTTTTCGGCGGTTTTCTCTAATTGATGTATCTTCGTAACAAAGTCTACACTGGAGTCAACTAGCGAATGTACAGGTGTAGACTTCCTGGTTGGGGTCTTCGGGATGGTAAAAACCAATAGTTGGAAACAATTGGTGATATGGCTCAAACTCATCGTTCTCAATGTCTGGCGCAGATGCATCCACTCCCTGTGACTTATAATTTCCAATGAAACTATATTGTTCTTCGTAATTACTACTCCTTTGTCTCACACCTCAACTTACTGTCTCTGTTATGCATTTCTTTTTACTTTCTTCTCTGGCTTTGTGTGCTACAAGGAGAGAGTGTGGCGACTTGAACAGTTGCACATCGGTGCAAAGCTCTGTGTCGAAAACAGACAGACAGATATGTCTTCATAAGAGAAACTAGTACAACACACAACACCAAAACCTTGTTTATCCTTTTCTTCTGGTATCATTCTCGTATACTCTTAGTAGTTAACTATGGATAAATGTTGACATTATAGCGTTTACTACGCTTTTATTCCAGATTGTCATAAAATTGACTTCATTCTCAATAATAGTTGTTAATTTAGACACAGACTAACCCGTCGAAGATTGTCACATGATTTAGATAGGTACATTAACAGCCTCACTTCACACTGATAAGGGACGTTCAGTTTCCCATATCTTCGCAAATAGTATAGTCAGTTATCTGATTTAGAAAGAGTTGGAGTAAGTTATTTGGGAAGGTACCTTGTAGGACTTCTGTACTTGCAAACCAGTTGAGCCCCTGAATCTTTAAATGGACGACTGTTACTCCACTAGGAAGTACTGTGTTTCAAAATATATTGTATACTGGCGCTCTAGGTCGGCTAAAGCTTCTCTCAGACTACTCCGTCGAAAGTTCGATGACTCATTATTGATGTAACACATACTTCACAAATCTTACGGCCAAATTCGTGTTTCATTGTCGTCCGTGGTGTTAATTAGATGGAACACCTTTTTACTGTTATTAGGTGCAGTTGTTGCTTCCACATTGAACCACCACTCTAGGTATTGTGGTCCTTAGGTAAGCACTGTTTGATTTCATTTGTAAGAGTCTTAGACAGATTACTACACTTACTAACCAATAGAATGAATCGAAAAGTGTCGAGAAATTGCAAGGAACTCAAGGTAATCCTGAGTTTGTTATCCAGTTTTTCAACCACTAGTTTTACTCGTTATACTCATGGTGTCTTGTGAGTGCTTTTAATGTCCACATACACAACTACAGTCTATCTGTCGGTTTGGTTTTAGTATAGAACTTTGCACCGATGTACAGCAGTTAGAGTCTCCACACTCCCCCTTTGTAGAACACAAAGCAAGAGAAGAAAGTAAAAAGGAATGCAAAATAGAGGCAGTAAACAGGTGCGTCGGTGGCATAGCAGTCAGGACGCTCGCCAACCATGCACATGGTCCAAGGTTCGATCCCCGGCTACCGACACACTCCTTTACCTCGCTTATCCATAAATAACGCTGGTGGGGAGGAAAGGTTGGGCATGTGACTAGCAACCCCATCCTGTAAAACAAACACTGCTACAGAAACTTCAAGCCACTAGCTTGGAACCCTATGTTCCACTGGAGAACATGAAGGATATAAAAAAACACAGATATGAGGTAATAAGAATAGTAATATCGAAGAACAATATAGTTTTATTGGATATTATGAGTCACAGAGAGTGAATGCATCTGCGCCAGCTATTGAGAAGGATTTTGAGCCATATCACTGATTGTCTCCAGCCTTCATTGGTTATAACCATCGAGAGGACCCCAACCAGTCAGGCTGTCTACACCTCCCTACGTGGCTAGCCCGCTTAGACTAACTGTTGTGGATTCCATTGACTGATGAAGCCATGTTTTGGTCTGACCACCACTACCTCTTTTCCAGCCTGACGCTATGTCTGCTAGCATTGCCCGTCGAGGAGGGTGATGACTAGGCATTCATGCGTAACACACATCCTAACCATCTCAGTCGGTGTAAATTCACAAACTCATCGGCTGATTTCCCCTCCTTACCGATACTTAACCTCAATATTGCCCATCCTATTATACCACTTCATACAGGAGATAGAACGCAGGCACCTATGATCAAAGACAGTTAGCCGGCCTTTTCATGTCTTCCACTTTCAGTGGCCATGTCTCACAGCCAGCCATAAAGGAGGATGGAGTGGACTGCTGAGCAGTACGTTTGACATGTGCTTGTAATACTAAGCGAAACCAATTCCTTTACATCAACCTTATTGCAAGATAAGTCCTAACAATCGTTCCAGAAGTAGTACCAATGCCATTGTAGTCTGTGTCAAATGACACAGGGTCATCAGGTAGGGAGGGCTACATTGATAGTCATCCCCAGCAAGTTGGTGCTGACTAAAGGAGTTAGCTGGCGACCTAATCAAAAGACAGTCACTATTCACCCAGCCTGAGAACATCTAGTCATCACCACCACTAATTACCTAGGCAGACGCCTGCCTCATACATTTAAATCCTCAACCAGTCATACACAACATCTCGCTTAGCATGCTTCGGTTGAGATCATTCAAAAGTCAAATAAGTAATTTAGATTTTTTTAAGACAAAAACTTAATAAACGTACCATTATTGGAGCATACATTTCTTGTGTTGCACTTACTTTATTGGAAGTAGTAGTAGTATTGTTATTATCAGGCATATCAGCAAGCTGTGAACTGAGAAGAGTATTTCTATTGATAGGTCGATTAGGAATTGTACTGGCATAGTCTGAATCTCTTAGACTAGCTGTAAGACAATCTTCCAATCCACTGGGATACGTAGATAGATTATTAGGAAGAGATGTGTTATGATTGTTGTTAATATTATTACTATTATTACTACTACTCATCATGACAGCTGTTGAACGTTGATGACTGGAAGTAGTCAGCGGAATAACAGGAGATGATTGCGGTGATTGTAGTACACCCAGAGAATGTGTTCCACTACTTTGTGGTGAGACAGCAGTACACAATCCAGATGTTGACTTTGAGATGACACCAGACTTAATATCTTGATGATGTAGGTAGGATGAATGATTGGTGTCATTCATTTCAGAAGCTGTAGATGATGCCGACGCTGACGACGCCGATGATGATGATGAGATATCACTTAAAGTAGAATTTTTATTTCCTCCAGACAAGAGATTATCATTCACATGTTTTGATGATAAAATTTCACCCATAATAGATGTTGTAGTCGGTAGTATTGAAGAACGATAAGAAGAAGAACAAGATGGGGAATTTCTTGATGATAATTGGTTATCTTCAGGTTTCTGTGTCATCAATTTCGAATTATTATTATTATTATTGTTGTTATTATGACCATAAATTTCATCTTCGTTCTCTTCTGAATTATGTTCCGGTTTGTATAATATATGCTGAGATTGTGGTGAAGTATTACAGGCATTTGTATTCAATGGAAGGCTAGTTATGCCTCCATTTGAGGTATTACTATTAACATTAACATTAGTAGTGGAAGTATTAGTAGTACAAGAGGTAGTGAAATTCGGTGAAACTCTGCCGTTTATATTTCCTCCACCTGTAGTTGTAGGTGTAGTGTTCGAATTACTTGAATTATTATTATTATTATTATTATCAGTCATAAAATTTAAAGCAAATGTATTTGTCGGTCGACGTTCATTTTGTACAGCTTCTGAACGCATACCAACAGCTAAACACTTTTGTAGTCTACAATACTGACAACGATTACGATAGGCTTTATTTACAAGACAATTTTGTTCACTACGACATACATAACTAACATGTCCACGGATTGAACGTTTAAAAAATCCTTTACATCCTTCACAGGATACAACACCATAATGTCGTCCTATAAAATAAGAAGAAAAAATAGAAGAAGAAGAAAGAGGAAATTTATCAGATACGATGATGAATAAAAAGAAGTAAATAGGCGGAGAAATTTATTGAGAATTATGTCATTACTTTAGTCTTTGTCTAAAGAGTCGGTGGCATCGGTGGTAGAATGCTCACCAGCCATGTAGGTGGTCCGGGTAGTAATAAGAGTGGTAAAGAGGGAAGCTTGGGCATGAGACTGGCTAGCAACCCAACCCCGTAGAAATAAATACCACTGCTACAGAAACTTCAAGCCTGTAGCTTGAAGCCATATATTCCACTGGGGACGTAAAGGAATAAAAAGAGTATAGGTGTGGTGCCCCTAATAATTCTAGTCTAATCAGACAAAAAGAGAACACATTATATATATTGTCGAAATTTGTTTATTTTTAACCTCTCTGAGTAGTATTCCCTCCGGTGTCCAGATTTGTCACATGAAAAGCACATTCGAAGCTCCATTGCTTCCTGCTTCCGTTGTGACTACGGTTGTGCTCAATAACTGTCTAGCTATCTTCTCTAGCTCACCTATGTCCATAGGTTGTATGGTGTTAACTGTTTGCAATTACTGAAAGATGTGATCTCGAACAAACTCTAGGTAAACTGGGACACCGACAACTAATTCATGGACTCTTCACATCAAGCATACGAAGTGCATAACGAAGTAGATATGCCAACCTCAGTGGCAATACCAAATAATTTCCGTTAGATTGTAGTCCTCGTGGTACGAAACTGCTGCATTGTGCCTGCTGTCTATTTGTTGGATTGTCGAACTCCTTGCACGCTATTCATCCGACCTCTTAGTAGTGTCCCCACCCAGCACAACCGCTTTCGCCGTCGGACACTGAACATCCATCAACTCAACAATGGTTTAGAAATCCTGCAAAAAGCTCCATCTTTATGAAATGCAGGTCAAGGAATCTTCATTTGGTTGTAATAGGTAGTGACATCAAATGTGACAACTACAGAACACGATAGTATTTGGTACAAACTAATATACAGATATGGCAAACTACAGAAGCCTTAAATATTAAAATCCGCATTCTTTTTTATTCTTTACGTTTCCCCCAGTCGAAAATAGGGCTTCAAGCTACAGGCTTGAACTTTCGGTAGCAGTGGTGTTGATTTCTATGGGATGGGGTTGCTAGTCTCATGCCAAAGTTCCCCTCTTTGCCAGTCCTATTTAATGGCATAGCGAGGTAATGGAGTGATTCGGCCGGGGATCGAACTCCGAGCCGCCTGCATAGCTGGTGAGCATTCCACTGCTGTGCCACCGATGCACAAAATTCTCATTAGCACATGTTTTCCCCCGTTGTGTGTCTTCTGTCTTCATTTCATATTTTCTACATTGTTGCACAAGGATCTTTCATTTCTCCTCTTCCTCATTGAATTCATCCTCCTCTGATATTCAAATACTCTTTTAAAAGACATCACGAAGACAATATATTACTTACAAAGCCTTATTATCAGTAGCACCCTCCACCCACCACATAGGTATGAGATAACAAAGAAATCACTATCAAAACATCAAGATAAAAAGGTGAGGGTAACGCATAAAGCTTTAACAGCACATCTCCATTTAGTTGTTTTACAGTCTAATGAACTCTTAGCAAAAAATAATGAACACCATTCATTTAAAATAGATTTATCTGAAATGGATAAAATTTACATTTTAACAATGGAAGATTGAGCGAAGAAATATTTACTTTTCAATTAGATCCTCATCTCACTCTGGCTGTACTCTAATATATATAGCATTTTTATTACAATACACAACAGTTTACCAATCAAGTGGCACTGATATGTTTGTTAACAATAATTAGTCAGTGTCAAAATGTCAATGGGTTGATAATTAACAAAGAAAGTCAATACACATTTAAAAGGTAGAAATGGTTAGAATAAATTAATTTTACAAGGATAACACATAATTAAAGATGAAGTGGTCAAAATAAATAATTTGGACAGTTATAATTTTTATAATTTTCAAGGCTTCTGGGGAGGGGGGCGAAGTAGTCCAGTTTATACATTCATGTAACGATGGTCAAGGTAAAGAAAGTGGTTGTACAAATTTCTTCTGAACGCATACACGTTTGGCTTCTTCAGGTGGATTCCTATTGCTTCAGCTGTTGTATGTAGAAGACGAACTCGTAGAGCAAAATTAAGATTAGTAGGAATGCGATAGATAATTTTAAATTCAGTATTAACGTATCAACCTTATGCTCACTATCTACAAGGTGTGCTAAAATGAAGCTACGAATAGATCTTGTTTGTCCCTTGCCCTTAACCACGTTGGATGATGTTCGGAAATACGATATGATGAACCTGCCTAATTGTACACCCAATGTAGCTGGCTCTGCAGCTGCAGTCAAACTGGTAGATACACATAGAGGAGGAGAAGGCAAATTTAGGTAGTTTATTCTTATTTCTCGAACGTAGAATAGGGGGTGGTTGTGAACGTACCTCTGCTGTATAATAAGCTGCGTTTAACTGCATTCTTCATGCGCTGTATTATATTATTATTATTTCGTTGATGTTTTCACCGAGGAACTGTAGTTTTTTATGAACAATTGTTTTTTCGGAACTGTTGCTATGCTGACTCTCCTAGGTGCTGAATGAATGAATTTATGTGGATAACCATTTTTTTCTAAGTAATTCTCTAATAACCATAAGCTCCTCATTGAGACAGTCGTCTGAACGCATTAACCTGACTCTATGAACCAGAGATACTTTACCAGGTTAAAATGCTATACGTGTATATTAGAGTAGAGCCAGAGTAAGATGAGGATCTAATTGAAAAGTAAATATTTCTTCGCTCAATTTTTCTCTTTTCTAAATGTCTAAATGGGGATTTTTTTTTCCTGTATTTTAAGGATGATCGAACATCCATATAAACATTTATGTATATATGTATGTATATACAGACTGTTATATGTCAGTCATTCTCAAAAAACCATTAGCTCATAGTTACAGTCCTACAAAAAGAAGGAGATATATGGATAACTAGGGAAGACTTCGCTTCCTTCTCTTTTCGACGGTGGTGATGATGATAACGATAATAATAATAATAATAATAAATAACAGATGCGAAGCGAAAAGAGGGAGAAAAATTTGAAAAGAAACAACAAAAAGACACTCCGAGCAAAATCTAAGAGAAGACATATATCCCGTCTCAAAGAATCATGCTCTCACTAGAATCACACAATAGGTAAAGACACACACACACACACACATGCATACGTACATATGAGAGTCTATATAAAACATAGACTTCTATAATAAAATAAATGCAAATGAAAGCCAACAGAATATTTCCCTTTGTGGATAATAAAAATTAATAAGTATATGGCGATAACAAAACTAGTAAGTGGTCTAGGCCAGTACACAAAATATTTGTGACGATGATGACGATGGTGGTGATGGTGATGGGGATTAAACAACAAGGGTAGGCATAAAATATGAGTGAGAAAATAGTCTGAACGAGGAAAGAAGCAGAAGAATGAAAATGATACACACAGAGAGAGAGAGAGACGAAAAAAGCATAAAAAATCGATAATTGCCTAATCAAAACAATAAGAACCAGGGGCGCGCCAGATAAATTCACACATATATATGCAGACAAAAAAACACACGTGAAAAGCATTTAAACCTGTGAAATCAAAATAACTATGATGAGTATGATTCTTCAGTGCCTTGAGGTCTACCACACACGTGGTCCAATTCGATACCCGGCTGACAATAACTCTGCAGAAGAGGGGAGCTTTGGATATGAGGCTATCAACCTGATCATGTAAAAAAAAATACCACCGTTACTGAAACTCTGAGCATCGGTGGCACAGTGGTAGAATGCTCACCAACCACGCTTCATGTAGTCCAGGGTTCCATCCCCGGCCACGGACGCATTCCCAAACCTCGCTAAACCAGTAATAAGCCTGTCTGTTTTCGACATAGAACTGTGCACATATGTGCCACAGTTCAAGTCGACACACTCTCTCCTTGTAGCACACAAAGAAAGAGAAGAAAGTAAAAAGAAATGCATAATAGAGATAGTAAGTTGAGGTGTGAGACAAAGGAGTAGCAATAACGAAGAATAATATAGTTTCATCGGAAATCATAAATCACAAGTATTGGATGCATCTGCGCCAGCCATTGAGAACGATGGAGTTTGAGCCATATCACCAATTGTTTCCAACTATTGGTTTTTACCGTCCCGAGGACCCCAACCAGTCAGAAGTCTAATATCCCTAAGTGACTGGCTTAAACGAACTGTTGTGGACTTTATTGACTGATCAAGCCATATTTTGGTCTGACCGCCGCTAGCTCTTTTCAGCCTGACCCTATATCAACTAACATTGCCCGTCGGTCGAGGAAGGCGATGACTAGGCATATGTAACACATATTCTAACCAACTCAATAGGTGTGACTTCACAGACTCGTGGATTTATTTACTCTCCTCACCTAGCACTCGACGCCTAACCCCAATATTAGTCACCCGTTTTATACTACTTCACACAGGAGACAGAACACAGACAACTATGATCAAAAACAGCTGGCCGGCCTTTTCGTGCCTTCCACTCTCAATGGCCAGGTCTCACTTACAGCCGTAAAGGAGGACGGAGCGAACTGATGAGCAGTACAAACACCCTTTGGTCGATAGCCAGCGGGATATCACGTCTACCCCAGAGACGGCGTTGGGGCTGATCTCTGGGGCCAGTAATAAGACTGGTAAAGAGGGAAGCTTGCGCATGAGACTAGCAGTCCAATCTCATAAAAATAAAGACCACTACTGTTACCGAGACTTCAAATCTCTAGCCTGAAGCCCAATATTCCACTGAGAAAGTAAAGGAATAAAAAACAACTGAAACTTTGAAGCTCAAATTTGCCGCACTCTACTCTACTCTACTCAGAAAGCAAAATTTAAACTATATTTATTATTAAGTGCAAACTAACATCGAACTATCATCACAAGTACACATTAATTCAGCCATGAAGGAGTCGATTTTCGAGTTCATCAGCATTTGACTTCAATGAAAGAACCAAATCTATTCATATCAGTCAAAACCGGATGGCTTTAAAGAAGCTACACGGCTATAAGGTGTTTAAATCACCTCAACCTGGCTATCAAGCACAGCAAGGTTGATGTGAGTGGTATCCAACTACTCAAATCAATCAGTAATATGTAGGCGCCATGCATTTAAACCTTATCAGCGATAGTCTCAATCTAAACGCCCTTAGCGTCTCGAGAACCTCAAACAGAGTCTACATCTCCCTGTGTGATTCAACGTCGTTAGTGAATATAGATAAAATAAGTATACAGTAACGGTAGATGACCACAGACTTAATAAAGGAATGTTTATTTGGAATTTGGTATCATTATATGGCAAAATTATGTACACCTTATCTTCAGCGCACCATTTGCATGTATCTTCCGTGTTGTGCTACTTATAGCCTTCCTTCATATTGTGTTTGTTTGTGTTCCTTTCACGTCTCCTGTATTTCTCCGCGAGGCTGTATCACTTGCTTCCTCTGAAATGAAATGTATCTCCCAGCTATCTGATGTTTTTATGCCGATGAAAGTCTCTTTATATACTACCGATAAATATTATCAGTAGCACACGCTACAATACTATACATGACCTAAAGAGTTGGACAAAAACAAACACTAGTGTATAAGTACAAGATGACTATCACTCATAAACAACCTGGTACGGTCGAGGGTGTGTAGACTTCAACCCTCCTCTCGAAATGTTCTCATGTGGCTACGTGTTCATGGCCGCTCCTATACACTACCCCGACTCAGCGGGAATGCTCACCCCCTCCCCAAAAAAGTGAAAGGGATAACACGAAAGTCTAGAGCTTACAACCGGACTGGTGTACATACTGATCAACCCCAGCTAGTTCCATTACCTTCTGGATCAAAATTTCAAGTCAAAAACTCGGGAGATGGGTCCTGCAAGATAACCACCAGCTTTCATCTGGGTGTCTAGGCAGTGTCGTAGCCATCGTACAGACTGAGATTTGTGTAGTGCATCCTTTAGTGACAATGATGTAGAGAATTTATGTTTTAATTGACCACCTTTTATTTTAAATAGTACACAATATTTGTTTCTAGTCAAATGTAACACGCGTTAAAACAAAAAAAATTTATCACTCCGTATATGTATGGCAATGCTTTTTCTCCATCTAGGCGAATGACACGAAGATGTATGTGAGATGATAACATCAGTCAATGAACTTATGATATGTAACAAATCAATAAGTACAAGGCATCTGACCAGTCAGAGTAACCCTACTACTTGCTTGGTGAAAAAAAAGAGATAAAAACTGAGTCATAATTCACTTGTTTTGATCAACTTTAGCAACAAGAAACACTGGAAACAAAACAATCATGGGCCGTTGGATCATGTCCCAATGAGTGGCTTAATGGTCTCTACAAGCTAGCTCACCTTGTAACCACAAGGTCCTGGGTTCGAACCCCACTGACAGAGTACTCATAGAATCCCGAACTGGGACGAAACAGTTATCCAGTAATCCTTGAAAGTTTTCCAATGGTTCCCTAACTAATGTCAGCTCATGATGAAATCCTGTTGTGATGACAGCTGGCTGCTAGGCAAAATCCGTAGACAGTAATTTACGTCAAGGTTTATGTCCCCAATATTGGTCGTGAGAAAAATAAAAAAAAAAAACTGAGTCGCGTAGGCGGATACAATTTGCAGATAGATAATCTGAACTTCAAGAAACAGCCACAAAGAGATGAAAGATTAAGGTTCAGCGAGAAGCCATCAATCAGAAGACTGTGATTGTTTACTTACAATAATCTATAATAATGTACATGAAAAATATACAAATATGTGTTGATTTCCTAAATAAATGATCTGCTGACTGACCCTTGTCTTCTGTTGTTACATTGTAACCAATCAATAAAGCACGTATTGCTCAACATATATGCAGAAGAAAATAGAGGTGGAAAGGATACACACACTGAGGAGACCATCGGGTGACATTGCACGACAAGAAACCCCTCAAACGGGAACTGAATAGGAAACGATGAGTTTACAGTCTAAGAGTGACATGGAGGAGACAGTGTGCGTGTGAGTAGGGGATGAAAGCTTATGGACAATCGTGGGAATCGCTGAAGATGATGGCAAAGAAAAGAACTAAATGGAGATGTTCTGTTAAAGCCCTGATGTTCCCTTTTAGAACCCAAAGGAATATATATATACATGAAGGAATACGTTGCATGCACTAACCTGAAGCCTTATCTCCACAAACTTTACACGGTTCCCAGGATTGATTTTCATTTGATAAATTTACAGCTGTTTGAGTTATATTCGGTGATGTACGAAGATTTGTACACCCATTTAACAGGACAGAATTTGGTGAAGTTGTACTTTCAGTTGATGGGTAAAAATCACCACCCCCACTGCCACCGACAGGATTCGGTTGATTAGGAGATAAAAAAGTCGGTGTAGCCGATGAAGATGGTGGACTGGCAGCTGATCCAACAAGCATTGGTTCAGGTGATATTCTTGATGTTGGTCGAAGAAAAGAATTACGTGAATGATTGTTGGTATTATGGTTAATAGTATTATTATTATTACTATTGCTACTAATATTATTATTAATACTGTTGGGGGAGTGAAGTGATAAGAAATTTGAAGCTAAAGAATAAGTTGGTGAAATTAACTTGTCTGAAGTACAATTAGATACACCATCATTAGTATTATTATTCATAGATGATGATAATGATGATCTACAATCATTCAGATTTGTATGTTTAACAGATTGCGTAAGACTACCCAAAAGATTTCTTGTCGATCCAAGTGATGAAGAGGTATAGCATTTGAACTGGTATTCACGCTTAACATTTGTTTGAATAGAAGATTTTGTAATGCAGACGATAGACTGTCATCAGTTGGAAGAACTGAATTGAAACTATCCGAAGTTGTCTACAAGGGAAAAACAAAACAACACATCAAGAAAAAAAAGGTATCAATAATATTGAGTTATATCTGAAGTTTTTGGCTAAAATTAAACATCGGTACTTGTTAAACTCATTCAAAGATTTTCAGTAACACGGCACATTTAAAAATAAACACAGTATTTGTGACACTGTAAATGACAGTCAAAATGGTGTTTTCAACATTGAATTACGAAGTGATATCAGTTAGAAAACCATAAATTGACAGACGGAAGAATTTTTAAGTATTAGATTGACTCCTAATGATTGAGTGGTCAACAACTTCACCTTGTAACCTAAAGATCATGGGTTCGATTCCTAGCGGTGGGATCATGGATTTGAAATGCGTCGGTGGCACAGCGGTTAGGACGCTTGCCGACCATGCACATGGTCCGGGGTTCGATCCCCGGTAGACACACACCTGATATCAATGGTCGGCCTGCAAAATTGGGCTACCTATATCACATTCTGAAAACTCTATACTTGTACCAAAAATACGATGTGGAGTCAAGCTATATTCAAAAAAGTTGCGTAGGACGAAACAGCTATCCAGTATTGGCCTGGTGGCTTCCAATGGTTTCCTAACTGATATCAAACTGTGATCAAAATTGAAACCAATCAAATTGCCCTAGAAACTCTAACATTTGAAAATGTTTTTTCTTATGTGAGTAAATGATTAACTTCGGGAACTATATGCGAAACGACTAAGGAGCGTACTGTATTCCATATACATAGTTTCCTCTATTTTGTAGATATTTACCTAACAATAATAACTTCAATATAATGACAACACTTTCAGATCAATAACAGATTTAACTATCTACATAATTCATTTTCCTACATTCCCTGTATTCCAAGGGGAACAAATGGAGTCAAATTCTAAAGTTTCACACGATGTGGAATTGTTTTCAAGCGACAGGGTTGCTAGCTGATATAAGAACAGAACTTGTACATTGTGGTAGGGTATTATTCTATTGTGGGTAAAATTCACTTTGATAAAGTCTCACAGTGTTGTTATACAGTAATATTTACTGATGATCACGTTTCGAGTACAATTTATTGCCCTGCTCATTATCATAACAAGGCACTACTCACACAACTTTATAACTTCATTTATATAATTCCACTACTTTTCATAGCTTGACTTGATTGGTAGTACTATTTTCCATATTTCCGGTAGGAGTGATGAGTCATTCCCATTGCACCTGTTGGGTGTAGACTCGATGAACCAAGCAGGATTCAGTAATCAACCTCTCTCGCTCTCTCCTTCCACCTACCTATATTACTTCTTAGAATTCTGACTCTGTCCCACCCACCCTATTGTGTGATTGTGTGTTAGTGCATGCAGTGCAATATATCGCTTAGCTTGTTTCTAAATTACTTATCTTCTCAGAGTCAATCATTCTAACCTTAGCTAAATTCTTGTGTTCTCACAATCTGACTACCTCTGATCTACTGGTGTGGTCTATGTAGTTGACTCAACTCACAGTCATTGCAAAGTATATTTTAAATTATATTATTTTGTTTAAATGGGTCAACCTACAAGGTGCTTTAGCCTACAGAGCTTGTCTCTGAGTGAGTTTGTAGGTTTGAATGTCACGCTAATTCTGCTGTATGAAGAATCCTACGTAGGGCCTAAAATGTCCCCTCCTTATATGGTATAACAGTAGATGCCTTATATTCTCTCTTATTTGTGTTATCATTGCTAGTTTCATAATTCTTTTTATTTTGCTTCTTACCTTTTCTGATCTTCCTAATGAATTTAACAGGATAGTTATTCAACACCAACGCCTCTTCTATCTGTTCCATTTCATCATTTAAGTCTCTTTTGCGCTACTTAGTGCTACTACTCGGTTTGTTAGACACTTAACTAAGCCTACCTAACAGTTAACGGATGAGACGAATTAAAGTCTAAATATCTATTCGAATGCATTAGGTTTTTTATATACGCTACTGTGCAGTCTACCTTCTTCTGTTTGTTTTATTTTACAATCTAACATCATGGCTAATTCTCCTTGTTAATTTTCCGATTCCAATGTGAATTTTATTCCTTCTACTTGTGAGTTTATATGTGTCAAGAAGCTAGAGATATGTTCTGTTTTTAACACTGTGAAAGTGTCAGTCATCCACATGTCTCCAGCATATTATTGGAGTAGGATTAAATGTATGAAGAGAAATATTTTCTCAGCTGTCCACAAAGATATCTGCTACGATAGGGGGAATATTGGTGATCCATCAGATTGCTACACCTTCCATCTGTTTGCTACCTAGACTTACGCTAAACCTTCTTATTGTTTCAATTTTACCGACAGGCTAGTAAACTAAGCAAGGCGTACGAGTGTATTGATCGTGAATCGAACTGCCACAATCACCTCCTGCTTAGTTGAACCAAGAACGGTAGCATGAACACAACCTTATTTTAAGAAAATTATCTTAAACTTAGTGCGTCGGTGGCTTAGCTGTTAGGATGCTCGCTGACCATGCACATGGTCCGGGGTTCGATTCCCGACCACAGACGCACTCCTTTACGCCGCTAAACCAGAAATAATGCTGGTAAAGAGGAAAGGTTGGGCATGAAGCTAGCAACCCAACCCTGTATAATTAAACACTGCTACAGAAACTTCAAGCCACTAGCTTGAAACCCTATGTTCCACTGAGAAAGTGAAGGAAAAAACTTAAACTTAAGATACTTAATATACATTCCACAAATACAGGTCTAAAAATATTAATGTAAGAGTATAACCTTCTCGAATGTTTCATTCGATAAAAAGTATTAGTGAGTTATTTATCACCTACCAAATTTGCAAGATGACTGACAATATCTGGAGCAGGAGTCGGTGTAGTGGTAGCTGCGACTGCCGCAGCAGCAGCAGATAACTGGGCAAGAAGATCAAATGAAATATTCCCCGTAGATGGAGTGTTATTATTATTCGTATTGTTATTAATTTCATTCGGTATAAGTGAAGCAGCACAGCCAACAACGCCACCAGAAGACATAACTTTACCGATTCCAGATGGTTTACGCGTAGACGATAAATTAGTCAATTGTTGAAAAGCTTGAGTAAGTGATCCACTATCAAGCATATCTCCTGCTGATGATGATGTTGATGACGATGATAATAAACTATGCGATGAAGTTTGATCAAATCCCGACGAGGAAATAGTTGGATTAATTAAACTTTCTAATGCTTGACGTAGCTGAATAGTAGAATTCACGCTGTCCAACTCAGAGGATAAAGTTGCCAAGGGATTTAACAGATTTGTGATGAGTTAACCGTACAATTATTGGTAGGATTTAAATTCCCAGTTCCAGAGAGAAATGACAGTAAGGCTGTTGAATCTAACGTTGTTGGTACCTCTTTCTTGCATTTAACTTTTTGTCTAGCCTGCTATAAATAGACAATAACATTTGGGGATAAATAAAGGTTATAAATATAATCTTCAAGAGTAAGACATACTCTTAATTACTTTATAAACAATCGTAAAACTAAATAAATATTCAAGTATTGGTTTGTTGACAGTGGTTAGAGAAGCATTGAAAAACCTGTAGGGAGTACTGGACATATGTTACCTCCTAGTTTGGAACTGTGGGGTTTTAGTGGTCGGGCGTGAGGAAAAATACCCACCGAAGACATGGACTAGTGGTCGCCCCATGTCGTGAATTGGCAGAAGTTGGGAATCATAGGTTAACCATTGGATCGGGTCCCGGTGAGTGACTCAATGGTCTACGAGCTCGCTGGCCTTGTAACCAGAAGGTCCTGGATTCGACCCCCACTGTGGTGGGTGTGTACTGTTGAAGAGTCCTAAGCTAGGATAAAACATTTGTCCAATACACCCTGCAGGTTTTCCAATGGTTCTCTAACCGATTGATGTTAGTTCATGATGAAATCTTGCAACTAAATAAATAAATAGATAAAATACACCAGCCTCTTATCGACTTTTTTAGCTTTTTTTAATAATCGTACTTGATTGATTTTTGCGTAAGTTTTCCAAAGTGCTATCATCACTCTTGCCATTTATTCATGAAGTAAAAGTAAACTGAGTTTTCTTACCAACACAATACACTTCAGTTGATCATCATCATCATCATCATTATTGTTATTATCATCAGTAAGTAGGTCGTGTCTATCATCATATAAACTGAAGAGAATAATGAAAAGGTACTCCACAATCACGGTGGTCTTTCGTTTACATAAAAAAATGAAGAAGAGCAACCCTTCAATGCTTTCTTCAAGTTTATTGTAATGATGATCTTCTATACATACATTACTTGAAGAATTATTTTACCTATAGTTCTATTGATTAATTATATATGCGTAGAACAGAAAAGAATTAAGCTGAGAAAACGAACATATTGCCAATAATTAGCTTTTTACCATAACAATTACAACAATTAGGTTAGAGAACCATTTGGAAGGTCTGGGAGAGTGTGCTTGACTCTCCACCAGTACGTACTCACCGGAGTTCAAACTCAGGAGCTTCCGGTGACGAGCTCGAAGAGTCTTAAACTAGGAAGAAACATCTGTCCAGTAATCCCAGGCCTTCCAATGATTCTCTATAACTGATGTCAGCTTCCGATCCAATCCTGTAACCAAGCAAATTCGTGCAAACCAAAACTTGACAATTATAAATAAATCAAGCATGATCTGTGCGTCGGCGGTACAAGGTACTAACTATGCATGTGGTCAAGGATTCGAATCCCGGCCGATGGACCCTTCAACCTCGCTTAGATTACACTATCCGGTAATAAGTCCGGTTAAGATAGAGGGTTGGACATAAGACCCGCAAGTCTACTCAGTAAAAACACCACCACAGCTAGTGGAACTACAAAAAGCAGAGTGTTCTACTCAGAACTCCCAGGGAAAAAATGAAAAAAAAAACTATTAAGTATCAGTTCATTTAAGACACTTTTAAATTTATCCAGCAAATATTCCACAATACTAGACCAGTCACATTCACCACCTTTTATTTCAGAACTATGGAGCTCCTCCACAGAACTAGTACATTAACCACAGACGAGAAGTTTAAGTCCTGATGAGTATAAGCCAGCTAGTTAGTTAGTTATTCAGTTAGATAGATGGATCTCAGAAACCCAGTACTAGGTTATACGCCACACTTATTGTCTGGGGTTGGAGGGGGGGAAGGGGGTAATGATACTATCCAGTTGTCGAGGCTGAAGCAGGCTGAGTACGACTCGAAGAATCTGGGACCCATTGGCTGAAAGTCGAATGCTTAAGCCAAAGCGCGCCACATTTCCAAAATGACTATCATAAAAGTGGCTACTTCAAACTGTAAGTGAACAAGATTTAGCACTATAAACTAGAAATCACTAATCTAGAATCCTCAGAATAAATCATAAAAAAATCTCATACACTAGAGCACCATCAGACGCGAGAAACAAAAACCGCAAAAACATTGAATGTACAAATATAGGGAGAAATCCAACATCTGTATCAATTACGTTTATTAATTTCCTAACTGACTATGAGCAAAACAAAACAAAATCAAAGTTCACCAGGTCAGGTAAGAGATCAGTTACCCACCCCCTTCCTACGACATATATATATATATATTGGTAGACGTTGGAACTCATGGGCCATCGAGTTGAGTCCCGTGGCTGACTGGTTTACGACCTCGCCTTGTAACCAGGAGGTCCTGGGTTCGAATCCCAGTTGGTACATCCGGATGAAGAGCCCCCAACTAGGACAAGACAGCTATCCAATACTTACAAGTTTTTTCCAATGCTTCTCTAACTGATGTCAACACTCATAATCAAACTTGAAAACAGGAGTATACAACAGAAGAAAGTGGTATTCTGATCTGAGGTAGCACAAAGTTGCATTGGCATTAGACAGGACAAAGTAGTCACCAAAGAAGATCTGGATCTATTTTCCGACCTTTAAATTGAATCATTAGCAAAGTGTAAACGTAACGTTAAACATTATTCAGTTGCTTAGACAAAAATAATACCACTGGAGTATATGGGTTACAATTGATTTTTACTTGAATACCAGGATTAATGGTCACTTAGAAGTAACCAACGTTAGCTTGTACAAACAATTCTTTATATCCATTGAACCTGGTTTATGGTCATATGATATTTGAAAAATTTAACAACTTATAATTTTATTTCAAGTTAGAATGCTAACTGACTTTAGTTAGAGAACCACTGAAAACCAAAAAGCACTGGATAGCCATTTCGTCTCATTTCAGGACTCTTCATAAATACGCAACCATGACCCTTCCACCGTGGAATAAACCCAGAACCTTTGGGTTACGATGTGAACTAATCGAGTGGGCGTTCAGTCACTGGGATGTAATCCAAGAGCCAGTCAGTGTCATTGGATGGACCACATTGGTCACAACTTCACACTACAACTGAGTTCGATCCCTCTGTGGCGGGTCATGGGTGCATACTACTGAAGAGTTCTAAACACTGGGCCGAGACAATTGTTCAGTACACCTTGATTTCTGAATGGTTCTCTACCTAAAATCAAATCCCCCTGTAGACTGACACACACAAAACAAAAAACAGACAAGACAATCAACAAAATAAACTGTATCTGACCTGTGTTATTGATTTATTCGTTTTTATCGATTAGTAGAAAAGTAGAAAAAAGAACAATTCGACAACTTATGTTCTTTCTATTTTCTCTTCTTATTTTAACTCTAACCTATCGTCGTCCAATTGATTTTAGAAGACATACATATACATACATGTGCATACATACATGAATACATACATACAAACACAAATACACACACAGACATACAGACACCACATACAGACATTATTAAACGTACAAACAAAGCTTCATTTATTCATAAAAACAAAAAAATCAAATAAGGAGAAATTGTTTTAAACAAAGAACAATGAACGATAACTAATTATGAATAATAGTGCTGCCACTACTATTACTGATGGCATTACTATTATACTACTTATATAAAACGAATAGCCATCTGATCAATACAATATATATGAATACAACTTCAAGTTGCGTTATTTTCTATAATACAACACTGTTGAGATCATCAACAAAATCGTTGAATAAACGAATAAAATGACATACAAGAGGGGCAACAAAGGATAAGTGACAATAGACACACAAAGTAAGTAAATGACCTTCTGACAAAATGAAATAACAACAAGAACAAAAAACAACAAACTATTTAAAGGAAAACAAAGGAAAAGTATGTTACGTGTACACACAAATATATACGTTAAAAAAAAATAATAATAATCATAATAAACCTATCGATTTTAGGTTAGTTTGACTCGCCCAACAACAACAATAATAATAACAAAAATAATAACAAGGACAGGGGAAGAATATTTACAGAATGGGAACTCGTTTGTGCACGACTCAAACCGTTCTTTTTCCTTTCTGCCTTCTCTCCTTCCAAACTGTGTTTACCTAACAAGTTTCAAAATAGGGTTGTTATACAACCACGAAGGTACACACTTCATATATATATGTATATATACATTACAGACAGACGTATACACATGAAGAGTTTCACTTCACTTTGAAGTGGTCAGCAAAATTCAGACAAATTAGTTGTGAACATAATAAAGAAATAAGTAAAAGAAGAAGAAGAACCGGGGAGAGATTCCCCAATTATTGGAAACCAAGATATTGACCTCTTTATGTTATACTTATAATCGTATTTTTTTCAAAACAACATAAAAGCACAGAAAACACTTATTTACATCCGGTTGACGACGTTTCACTCAAATTCTAAACGTGTTCATATTTTATCTTATACAATGGATATATTATTGTAATGTTTGTAATATTGATTATTTTATTGATTGATTGGCGGTCTGTTTAAAATTTGGGCTACCGAAAACTTCTATCACAATTATATAGTATATAGTTAGTTTCTCTTATTCAGTTTGTTTAAATCTAGTGTTTGTTTACTCTGACGAGTATTCAAAACATTTACAAACTAGTGATTCACAAGTTTCTAATGAACATGAGAGAAAGCATTATCCAGTTGGATGACAGGTTATCCTAATACATGAGGTGACTGTTTCTAGGTGGTGTCTTTGGTTCATAAAATGTACTCCTGGACATTTTATAGTTGACATTCAACAAAATGTTGTATATTTCTCCAGGCAAACAAAGAAGAGATATCACAAAATGGATTAATTTGCGCTTCAGGTCAGATAGAACTGTCACACGATCATCTACTGTCAATTAGTCTGTTTTATTTGAAGATCACGGACGAAGAGAAAATATCACTCAGTAAACTCCACTGAAGATTCTGTACATTATACAAACATTGTTTCATTAAAATTATTATTGTCATCATTTTATTCCTTTAAGTCCCAAGTGGAACACAGGGCTTGAAGACTTAGCTTTAAAGTTTCAGTAGCTATAGT